AAAACTTCTGACTTGAAGTAACATATATTCATGTAACTATAGCACTAGTCCATTTGGATAAGAACAGTTATGTAAGTGTAAAAAATGCACTTATTGTAGAGCACTACACTAACACACTTCACAGGAAGTCAGCCATCACTGTGTTTATGTTTGTGACCCCTGGATTTCACTAAAAAAATCCACAAGGTAAGTTTTTTTTCTTAGAGGGTCTTGTCTTACTTTAAAATATTGGACAGTAATGAGCTTTTATGAAGAATTAATAATAAATTTAGACAAGCATATATTTATAATACAAACATAAATACGTCTAATATTTCAAGTAATATAAACCATAGACCCTCTAAAGAGGGTCTATGTATAAACACAAATATGTAATTGTTGTACTGCTGAATACTGTCATTTCACTACTCTCATTCAACAAACAAATAAGCAAAAACTCATAAAAATACCTTTTTCCAAATGTTTTGCAATTTATTTATCACAAATAAATTGTCTGTTAACCCAAAATTAGGGTTTTGAGTGAAAATAAGTCTTACTGAAATAAAAAGCAATTAAATTATGCAAATACCCTTACCTTTAACCCATCTTCGGGATAGGCTTTCAGTACCCACAATGCAAAGTCAGAGATAAGATCAAAGTGGTCACTACCTAGATGTTGTAAATATTGCACTGTCCTGTCATGTCCTTTAAGTGGACTGTTGGGTTTCTGTGATTGTCTCAGTAATAAATCCAATGCTGTGAAAACAACGTAATATACCGGTACCCAAGTTAAAATTCTACCTGGGACCCAAACACCAAATGTGGAGGCCAAAGCCATTGGTCAAGATTCACTCACTGGTAGATATGACTAAAAACTTTGGATAAGCTTGGCAGGTGCTTGTGTTAAACCGAGTCTGGTTGGTAACATATCAAATTTGCATAATGCCTTGGTGATAGAAAGATGGTCACACAGCCCTGTTCGGTAGTCTCAAACATTGAATATAGTTGCCATGACAATGCACTATATGTATCATATCATTGCATGCAATTGAAAAATGCATATAAAAAAAAAATTCTTGGTTGGTTGATAAGATGTTACATTTTTTTTTTTACAAACCAGTGAATTTAAAAACTAGTGAATATCATGCAACCAAGTGAATGTTTTTTTTTTTGGAATAACTATGAATTTGAAACATACTTCCAAATTAGCAAAATCTAGTTCCAAAAACTGATAATGTAACATTAGTTATGTGGCAAAATTTCAACCAATCATTCGTCAAAATACAAAATCTTTCGTCACATGAGCTTCTACCTATACAATCTTTACATGCAATTACCGGCAACAAAAGGTACATAACATACAGTGTCAAGAGCATTGAACAAATTAGATACCTTTCCTGTGGAGTCCTTTCTTCTGGTAGAGGATTATAAGTTCGCTATATTTCTGATGTTTCTTTAAAACCCTCTCGCTCTCTTCAATATGACAGTTGTTGTCCTTCAGTCTCAACAGCGGGGCTACAAGAGCGTCATTCGTCTGAATAGAATAAATACGTGGCGCTATGGTCAGAAGACAGTATAGCTCAAGACAACAGAACATTTATGTGAAATTTAACTCACTTGAATCTAGTTTAGCTCAGTCAAACTCGGTTCAATATATTTCCATGTAATCCTTTTAATCTGACACCACTCTGAGGTAAAATTGCTTTTGATCATGAATTTGGATTTATTTCATTTATAAAATGTAGCATATACACTAGAGTTGAGAGAAATCACGTTTATGATTATATATTATATGTACACAGATAAAAAAATAGAAAGAAAAAAGTTTTGTTAACTCAAGAAAGTTCTTCAGAATATAATTATACATCATTACTGTAAAATACTTTTCGCTTGAAATTTATTTACGCTGTTTTCGCTGATGGAATGATTCAGTGAAAATAAAATCTAGCGAAAACACCTTATTTCCTATATTTTACATTCAACTCATCAAAGATTAGTGAATATAAATTCCAAACAAAACACCCCAAAAGTCTGTTCTGCGAAAATCAATCCCAGCTAAAACACGCCATGCATGACACAGTCCCCGTTAGTTATCAAATTTAAGATATATAGTTTTGTTTATAGTAATATAGCTGGAATATAAACATGTCAGGAATATGATTATGATGTTTAACATTTAAATGATTGACATTTGTATCTGATCGTCAAACGAGTATTGAGAGATATTGCTCTGGAACAGCATTAATTAAAACAAAATCAGCCATTTTGAATACATGTATAATGAATATATAAAATTTGAACATAGTCAGTCAAAGCATGTCAGAGATATGGCTCTAGAAGCCAATTCATTAAAACAAAATCTAAATCTGATCTAAAAACATGACATGATGACATGATGTATATTGATTATTTAAATTTGAACATAATCAGTCACAGCAATTCAGAGATATGGCACTAGAACCACATTCATTAAAACAAAATGGCCGCCAGTGGCCATTTTGAATCTTATCTGAAAAACAAAATGCTGTGCATCAAGGTCCTATAATGTCCAACGTATATACCAAGTTTGAACAAAATCCATCTATAAACAGCCATTTGGCCATTTTTAATAGAATCGTCAAACCAGTATATCTGTATATATCTATGACATGATATATAATGAATATTTAAAATTTAAACATAATCAGTCACAGCAAGTCAGAGATATGGCACTAGAACCACATTCATTAAAACAAAATGGCCACCAGTTGGCCATTTTGAATCTTATCTGAAAAACAAAATAATGTGCATCAAGGTCCTACAATGTCCGACGTATATACCAAGTTTGAACAAAATCCATCTGTAAACAGCCGAAAAATGTTTGATTTTGAAGATTTTTAGAACAAAAATGGCCGTCATTCGGCCATCTTGAATCAGATCGTGAAACAAATTGATGTGCATATGTATAATATCATGCATGATGTATGTGTGAAGTTTGATTGTGATTGGTCCAGACATTTCTGAGATCAAAACATAAGTCCCCGTTTTCGGAGTCTGAGCGGGGACTAATAAAGTATTCTACAGTAAGTAGAAATACATAGAGTGGCTAGTGCATGTTTATAATTTCCCATGATTCATACCAATTAGAGGTGAATGTAATCCTTCACTTGTCAGCCATTCTGAAAAACAGAACTTGAAAAGAATGCATTTCAATATGTGTGACATGATGCATAACACACATGCAGAGTTTGATTGCAGTCAGTCAAGGCATGTCAGAGATATGGTTCAGTCATTTTGAATAAAATCTGAAAAACAAACTAAGGCATATAAAAGGTGGTTTAACACATAATTAGCTCCCCACCCCCACTCCCAAAAGTTCTGTATGAGGCACATGTTTCAAACTGACAGGTACGATGTTGAGAAACAAAACCTATTTTTCTTGTTTTTGACCAAATAGATCAATTTTCTGTTATTTTTTGTGGGAAACCACGCCTTGATCAACATGATGGAACAAGAAAGCTGATTGCATCATGGGTAAATACAAAGTAATAGTAACCCCACTCTATAATGAAGGTAATAATTTGTTGGCAGAAAATTGAATACAATCAGTAAATACCTAAAATGCTATATACGTTACAAAGTAAATAACACGTTGCACAAAGGCATGACACTTACCTGTAAATAACATTTAAGTAACGTTGTGTCCACTATTTGACTTAGTTGTTTCTTAGATCGTATAGTCGTACTACCCTGCACTATAGCCATTGGGTTACTTAACTCCTGACTCATATGTTTCACTATTTCATTACGCTTATGTGTTAGATATTCTATGAGTCCCAGTAAACCCTTTTCTAGCTCAGATCCAGACAGCTCTGGAGGTTTACTGGGATATTCTAACTGGTTTCGATAATCTTGAGGTAGCAAGTCAGGAAACAGACCGATAACTTGCGCTGGATCTGTAAGAGAAATTGAGGAATAAATTAATTTTTTATAAAGATAAATTATTTTTAATTCATAAGAAGATAATATAATATTACTTTACAAAAACAATTAAAAAATACTTTATATTTTGGTAACAGAAGGAAAACAAGTTAAAATTGATCTGTGACTCAAGACATTCTAAAAGTTACTAAGGTGCTAGGACAACCTATACATTACCTGAAAGATTAGATATAGGTAAATCGATAGTGCATATTCCCTACCAATGTTTGTCTAAGGGATTACCTGACAGCCAATTTTTGATTACTGTAAAATACTTTATTTTCGCTTGGAATTCATCTCGCTATTTTCGCTGAAGGAATGATTCAGTGACAATAAAATCCAGCGAATATACTTTTTTCCTATATTTTACATTCAACTCGTAAGTGAAAATAAATTCCATACAAAACACCCAGAAAGGCTTTTCAGTGAAAATTAATTCAAGTTAAATTAAGTATTTTACAGTATTAGAAACACCCTGTTTTAACACTTTCAGTCACCTAGCACATGACTTTTGTAACGCTGTAGGCTGAAAGACTGCAAGTAATCTTTTCGTTATTTGTTTTTGTTCTCAATTAAGCTACACCCAAATAACTACAGGCAATCTGTTGAGCAGTTTTGGATGTAATGATCATGAAGCTAAAGCATGGATACAAAAATTGAGATGCAAGTTTTTTGTACATTTTCACCAAAAAAAAACTCCAGAATGTGGAACCGGAAATCTCGCAAATAATTAGTCATAATTAAAATATACTTAAAAATGTGCTTCTGTCTTCACTTTCCCACTCCAGTTCAAGAGTAGGGGAGGTTTACAGACAGACAGACAGACAGACAGACATACATGCCTACAATGTAACTGGCCTTCAAGGGCAAACAAAGCCTCCTTACTCAGTGAGAACCTATTGTTTACAAGTTCACAAATCAAGTTTAATTTAATAGGCCTGCGTTAAATTTATATTCTGCATTTAATTTCTATTTCCCATGCTTAATCTCAACATTTGATAGTGTATTGGTCAGGTACAAAATACACATCACAGAATTGCAAAGTGGAATGCAAATTACCACCTTTCGTCATGCGATGTGTTAATATGAGGTTATTACGAATATACCTCAAAGTATGTACGAAGACAGTACTGCGGTAGTATCAACCGACGCGAAGAGTGCTGTCCGAGTGCATACTTTGAGGTATCCTCGTAATAACTTTATTATTATACATCTTTTCCTACTAAGGATACATCATGGGAATGTTGAAATCCAAAAAGTTTAGAACAGAATCAGCGAACTTCTTTGTGTGGAGTCTGGTCAAACCCTTGTGGCAGCCATGTTTGTTTTTATTATCAGAGGACGCTTACGCGCTTAATCATTTCATATTTGGAATACACATTTCCTAATATGGCAGGATGAAAATACCCCGTAAAATACCGTAGAATTACAGCACACTGTAACTTATGGCGTTACGGTGACAGATGTACAATAATAGATATTATTCAATAGTTTTTTTTTTAGTTTTTTTTTTGATACTGACAGCAAACAGAAACCAGGAAGCATTATGTACCTGTGCCTAATTTCCCAAAAATCTGCATGGATTCTTCAAATCTGTGTTGTGAAAATAAATCAAATGCGTATAAATTCTGAATATGTTGAATTCTTCTCTGTTTGTCAGCTTCAACTTCATCTGTCATGTCCTGGAGTAAACAATAATGTTAATACACATTAACAAATAAGCATAAATATTTGTTTTTGTTATTTTTTTTTTATTCTGAAAGCAGCATATTTATTTATTTATTTATTTAATCATTATTTAATTAGATGCTGTATATTTGAATAAAATTTAAATATACAGCATCTAATGTTTCAACAATGTGTTATGCTATATGTATGTACGCTATAATATATCTCTGAGGAACAAAAAAAAATGTATATACATATAATCAACAGTGAAAAATTGAGGTAAATCTCAAACATGTGACTGTCATGAAACTACCGAGTTACAGTGTTTTCAATTGTGAGGCACAGCACTATGAATCAGTCAATGAAAGTGCTGTTTTGATATGGACTTTAATTAACAGTGTACGGTGCATCCCTTAATGAGGGAAGGAGGAAGGGATGGATGTTGGATGTTGCTGTACTGGAAGTGGATGGTGTTCAAAACCACATGTTGCAATGTAATAATATGATGCTGGTCCCTATGTCAATTTTTGGAAACCATCCAACTACCCACAACTTAGCCGAAATCGCGACTGAGCAAGAGGTCACTATATATAACAATTCTCTGTATTTATTGAAATAGTAACACAAACCATTTTCAAGTAAGCAAATTCCATCAATTTAATCCAATAGAAAAACAATTAAAAATTAATTCCCAGAAAATAAAATAAATGCAATTTTCACTTGGAAACCAAAATCTATTAAACTGAGAAAATTATGTAATTATGTCATTATTTTACAAACATTTGGTCATAGACAATTCTCACCAAAAACAACATTATACACACATGTTATTCATGGTACTACATTTTAGTATGCAATAAATGAATGAATACTTTATAAATAGAACAAATTACTACCCACATACTCAACAACCTGTAAATTACACTGGCATGCTTTGTTATTATATTTACTACCCGATAGTATTGATTCATTTCAATGATGTATTCATCTCAAAATTACCGCACACAGAACAGTATTCTTTTATAACATACGTAAATAACCTACTATCTCTTGCATGAATTTCAAGTTATTTTATTATCTGTTTCCTGATTGGCCAGCTTAACAGCAATGTACCTCATGCAACACATTTTCTCATTGGCTATTGTTTAAACAATAAAAGACTCCAGTTGAAATGCGTAGATAAAAAACAGCTCATTGTACACATCACACTGGTGGACAACAGAGACCTATCTATATGTTGGTCATTTTAAGACAAAAATGTTTGGAAAACAATAACAGCACATAAATTCGGAAATCTAAAAGCATACCTACCGCTAAATGTAATGCTAATTCAAATTGTTTGTCCTGTAATAATTCTCTAATCTGCACGGTAATAGGCACTGGTACGAGACGCCAGACAAAATGACTAGATGCTATATATACATGACCACTGAAAAAAATAAAATAATAAATAAATTTATAATTTTATGCATAATAGTTAAAGTAAAAGTGCAACTACAGTATTTTCTGATTAGGAAGCGTATTCGTTAACATAATCGATATGTTACCCTTTGAGTGTTTTATCTTTGTTAGGACACACAAAAAAACAAAATGTGCTCAGATTGTTTTTTCAAAAAAATAATGGTGAAACAATTTGCACACATTTTGCAGGTGGACTTAATTCATCAACATTAGATGCTGTTCAGTGACAAAAGAAGTGAAAAAAAAAATGACCAGCACTGTTTTTGGTGATCCACATATGACCAGAAACAATACCAGTACTTTTTTTAGTCCCTTTTAGACCTTATCATTGTGTACAGGTCTTGGTTGCACTTTCAAAAAAAAAAAAACATAAAAAAAAAAAATAAGTCATTGACTTACGTTTGAATATTTGGAAGAATATTTCTGATAATTTGACTAGTTTATAATTATGAGCTATTTATCATGTTCCACACCATAATGATAAAGCATTATGTATTTAGCAAGTACCCTATTGTATTTACTTTATGGTGAAATAAAACATACAATACAATTCAGTACAATACTTGACACATGTTGTGCAATATTAACTGACACAAGTCAGTCATTCTAAAACTGAACTTGAACTGAATACATGTCAATATATGTGACATGTGTATCTTCTGTGTCAAATTTGATTGCAATCAGTCTAAGTATGTGAGAATAGCATTCTTCAAAACAAAATGGCCGTAAATTGGCCAAGTCAGAAAATATAATCTAGAACTAAAGAGGGCGCTATAATATCTCACATCAGTTTCTACAGTCAATGGTTCCATGTCAGCAAGACATGATCACTTCAATCTGATTTAAATCTAAGCACAAGTATTTTTTTATTTAATAAAGTGAGCATTTGCGATCACCAAACTTTAAAGAACACCAACAAATAAATTAAAAAATAAAATATGTGAAAAATAAATAATTAAATACATATTTAAAAAAAAAGAATAAAATAAAAATAGCCCTGGAATCCTATTTTTAGAATCAGATTGTACATCTGCATAACAAGTCACTTATAATGACATAGTCCCCGTTGTAATTAGAGGAAATGATATTCATTCAGTATACATTTCATAATACATCAAATGATAAAAGAGGCTTGCTACATCTCACACCTGCAAAGATAAAAACCAACAAATGTTAGTATTTCCGTACCTTCCCAGCGTAATAAATCTTGGTTTCTGTAAGTCAATGCTTTGTACTAACAACCTGGGTTCTATTGTACGTATCTCGACGTATCTTGGTAGGACAGCTATCATGTACGGCGCATCATACTCTGCAAATAATAATAACAAGACGCATCCAGTTCTGACATCAAAACAGTGATTGCGAAATGGACAATTTGAATTACGATGTCATATTTCAGATTACAGCAATACACGGTTAAAAACATAAACACAATTTTCACAGTGACGTCAAAAACACGCTGAACTTAACTCACCAATAATGATGGGAATGTCATTCCACGTCAGAGCATATTTCTGTGTTGGAGCGCCCTCAGAGTCAATAAATATACTCATTTCATCCCGTCCTAGAGCAAGTTTGTCCTCGGCTAGTCTGGTAACTGTGGGTTCTAATTGTTTGCCAGTCGGAAAGAGTTCTTTTAAACCACCATCAAGCTAGTGGTAAAATAAAAAATGTAAATGTAGCATCAAGTAATATGTTATGTTTTATTTCAATGAGAGTGAAGGTTCAAAGGTCATTAAAAAGAGTGATGCAGTTATCATCAGGTTAGGTCCTTTTTTTTGTATAAAATATACACCCTGTTTGACAGGTCTGTACCTATGATACTACGCCATATTTTTACAGGATCTCTCTGAAATTGTGCAACATACATGTATAATATATGATTCCCGTACTATTTCTTGAATAAATATGCACCCCTATTATGTATGAAATTGCACCCTCTATTATCGGTAGTATGGAATGCATTGCAACATTTAGCCAAACATAAATAAAAAAGCTTGCTTAATAAGTTCAAGCCATAAAAAACAAAAATTGATCATGTAATTCATAAATAGACTTAAACTTACTTTAATCAGAAAATAATCTCGTTTAAAACCAACACACAATGAATTGACACACCACGACATTGATTTGGGAACATCCGGCACACCTAGGTCAGACTGAAAAGGTATGATAATAAAAACGTAAGCAATCATATACTTTATTTTCGATAATTTCGCTGAAGGAATGATTCAGTGAAAATAAAATCCAGTGAATATACCTTTTTTCCTATATTTATATGCATGGATAACTTCAGTATTGTATACAGTATACTCCCCTCTACAGTCATTTCACAGTTCAACTTGTCACAAATCAGTGAAAATAAATTCCATACAAATCACCAAAAAAGTCTATACAGCAAAAATTAAATCCAGCTAAAATAAAGTATTTTACAGTATTTCAAGCAGAAAACAAGACTAACCTGCAGTTCATGAAAATCCCTATTCTGCCAATAAAATAACTGTAGTTTCCGCTTCACAGCTACACACATTCTAAGTTTATATGTACAACCCCCACTCAGAGATTTTTCTTTCTGAAAAACCATAAAAAACAGAATAGATTCAGAGCGAGAAAGTAAGGACTAAAACATAAATAACTAATATTAAATTTTAAATCTAGTACCTTGTGGAATTTATTGTTACAATATTTGTGTTTTCAGCGTACATGAAGCTATACTAAGTTCCACCTCTACTGGTAATATATATAATTTATTTGCTATGTCAGACAAAAACAAAACAAAAAAACAACACTTCAATTAAAATGATAAAAGGAATAAGACTTTTTCTTCCTGACCATATACGAGTACAGAAAATCATACTCATTGAGTGTTTTTGTTAACCTTATGAACCTCAATTTTGGAGTCAACAGACAAAATTTTAGGCAATTTTTAGTTTTTATACAAAAAATTTTGCTATTTTTGTCCCAATCTTCTGAAAGAAATTGCAGACTATAAACTGGACTACTGATGAAAAGAAGAAACTGGTGGTGAAAAGTTTAACAGTGCCATATTTGTATTGATACAAAACAAAATACAATTTTTTTGGGTCTGGAGCAGTAAAACCTAAAATCTTTAGAAATTTAACTGCTCACAAGGCACTAAAAAATACAATGCTTTATTGTCACTTCCGTGGGGAAATTTATTGATTTTATTTCTAAACTTTAGTTTAGTCTATCTTTTGTTTGTTTTTCTTGACCATTGATTTATTGTATGTTTTTTTTTTTCATTCATACTAAATTTTGTGTCAAATAAAATATCTTTCTATAAATAATATCTCATGAGTGACACTACAATATCAGATTTATTAAAAGAGTGTAGTCATTTTCATTTCTTTCAAGTCTTTGGATAGAAACAAATAAAAAATAACACTAGAAATATACTCGCAAGGTCACAAATTTGATATCCTATTATTCCAATGTAAATATTTACTTGGATTTATTACATTGAACTGCCTGGATATAATCCACTAAATTGTCAAATTTACCTGAAGATCAACAGCAAACAACGTGGCACCTCTTGTCTTGTTGAGAGCAGTAATGTGAGAATACCCAGTCAGATCATGGACACTGATAACATTGTCTGGCAAATTATAAAAAAAAAACCAATTCATTTAAAGACAGAAAATATTTTTTTTTTACCAAAAGTATTTTCAAATTGATCTACAATATTAATCATGCATGAGTAAGACCAGGCAGACTAAAAGAATGAGAAACCCAAAATTTGTTTATAAAATATTTTCTATATATTTAGTTTCATAATTGATTCAAGCACCATACATCAGGATCACTAAAGATGTGCAATACTGTGGAATACTTTATTTTCGCTGGAATTAATTTTCGCTGAAAAGGCTTTTTGGGCGTTTTGCTTGGAATTTATTTTCACTGATTTTTCATGAGTTTAATGTGAAATATAGGAAAAAAAAGTATATTCGCTGGATTTTATTTTCACGGAATCATCCCTTCAGCGAAAATAGCGAAAATAAATTCCACGCGAAAATAAAGTATTCTACAGTAATTTTAAAATTGTACAGCAAAGATAATTACAGTAGTATCTCAAGAAAGAAAATGATAAGACTTACCTGATAAAGATATAAGTATTTGGAATTCGGGAACACAGGTTAATTGTTGTATTGGCTTTTTAGCAAAAGATTTGTTAGATCTTAAAAGGTTCACTGCAAATCTCTCATCGCCTAAAGAAATGGTAGAATTGGTTACATTACTGTAATAGTTGTGTATACTGTTAAAATGTAGTAATGTGTATTTCCCATAATAACTTAACATTAATCCAACTTCATGCTACACTGACTGATGCCCTCGCAGAGCATTGTATAGTTTGAAGTAATTCTTATCTCAAACAATTACTGTTTCTAGATCAGTCTATAGAAGGACTGTGATGTACTCTGCCACAAAGTGTGTGTTAATATCATGACTATCGATACAAACTAATTTTACTTGAATTGCCCTAGGTGTACACAGAATGTTTTAAATGGAACCTCCTGAATTTTATCGGAGCAACCATTGAAACTAATTTTTTGTTGCCAAAATTTCTCTTCTGAGAGAGAACTATATCATCAAAAGCAGCCAAAAAAAATGAACACAAAGTGACATCTTACCTGAAGCTGATTTGATGCTATAGACAAGAAGATGACCTTGCTTGGTACCAACTAGTAATACATCCCTGTGAAATACATTACAAGTGTTACTGTCAAATAAATTTGATTCAGTGAAAATAAAATCCAGCGAATATACCGTTTTTCCTATATTTTACATTCAACTCGTCAAAAATCAGTAAAATTAAATTCCATACAAAAAACCCCAAAAAATCTTTTCAACGACAATTAATTCCAGCTAAAATAAAGTATTTTACAGTACAAACAGTCCTTGGTGGGATTTGCATACAGGTACAAATATCATACACCACTGAAAAAAAATTAGCAATTTAAAAACTGACATCACAGATTTGATGTTTTATTTGTCCCATGAATCCATTTTGCTGATATGTGGATCTGTATTCAGGGCTTTTTAGCGTGTCATCTCATTTGCATACAAGAACGCTGTTCCATCAACACATTTTTCAGAACATTTATCTCCTGATTTTAACTTATTTCTTGGGCCATCAATGTATTTATGGTTCCATGAGTAACATAGTAACATTTTGACTGAATTTAATCAACAGCCTTTAACCATAATCTCCTAAGAAAATGTCCTAATACACAGAAAATTATTTCTCAGTGCTTTTAGGAGAGCTATTTTTCAAGGCCTGCATTATGGTTCAGTACTGTTCCAGTTACGTAGTTTTGTTTTCAAGTACACGAGGAAAATGAAAATGTAGGTGGTCCCAATAAAACCTTTGTCTGTTATATATCTTTTAATTTCCACTGCTAAAAAGTGTCAAACTACCTTGTATTTTATTCAAAATAGGAGATCATCTTCACCGGTTACTGGTTAATTTCTACCTCACTGCTGGTCCAGTATTGGTCCAATCTTATTCAAATCTGATGTATTTAATATTAT